TCACCGTCGCCTTAAAAGCCGAGAAAACATTAAAATATGGTTAGCCTACCGAAGCAGAGTGGTGCAATGGAAGCGTCCTGGGCCCAGAGGTACGAGGATCGAAACCAAGCTCTGCTAGTGAACAATCCTTATTACACTCCTATGTTTGTGAGATATGCTCACACACTGGAATTGGGATTTAGACGGCGCGCAGGATCTATGTAAAGCAGCTGTTTCCATTATACCGTCTCCTTAACAATACGGAAAACTTTAAAAGGTATATAACCTGACGAAGCAGAGTGGCGCAGTGGGAGCGCACTGGGCCGATAACCCAGAGGTCCGTGGATCGAAACCACGCTCTGCTAGTGAACCATTTTTTATTAGACTCCTATACATAGCAGGAAGGATATTTAAATGCAAGCAATAATCTGTAAGTTGAATGCATGTTGCTGTGTGAAGCAGCTGTTTTCATTTCACCGTCGCCTTAAAAGCCGGGAAAACTTTTAAATATGGTTACCATCCCGAAGCAGAGTGGTGCAATGGAAGCGTCCTGGGTCCAGAGGTCCGAGGATCGAAACCAAGCTCTGCTAGTGAACAATCCTTATTACACTCCCATGTTTGTTGGATATGCTCACACACTGGAATGGGGATTTAGACGGCGCGCAGGGTCTATGTAAAGCAGCTGTTTTCATTGTACCGTCTCATTAACAATACGGAAAACTTTAAAAGGTATGTAATGTGGCGAAGCAGAGTGGCGCAGTGAGAGCGCACTGGACCGATAACTCAGAGGTCCGTGGATCGAAACTACGCTCTGCTAGTGAAAAAACTTTTTACCAGGTTTTGGAGCATGTTGGGATATAAATGGCGAAGTTTTTTCGGTTAGTTTAATGCATGGTTCAGGGTAAAGCTGCTATTTTTATTGCACCTTTGCCTTAACAACAAGGAAAACATTATAATATAAACTAATTGGCCTTTATTCCAGAGGCACTTTTGACTCTAATTCGTTTACTCATTTGATATTCTGTTATTTTTTAAAAATTTTAAACCAAAAATATACATTTAAACATGAAAAGTTTGCTATTTGCGAAATTGTAAAGCCTTTATCAGAGAACATGGGACCATTCCTTCTTACAAGGTGCGTTCGAAAAGTTCGGTGAATGGTCTCATAAAATAAAGGAAACCATGTATACAAACAAAATACCTTTACTGGCAATCAAAGCAATCACCATTAGCTACAATACACTTTTGATATCGGTTGTACAGCTGCTAGAAACCGTCAGCAAACTCTTCTTTCGGTATCGCTCGAAGCACCGTTGTCACACGTTGCTGGACCTGCGCAATGTCGGAAAAGCGTACACCTTTTTCTTACGCTTTTACAAATGTTCGTGAATAATGTTGCTCACACTGTCTAGGCTTATCTTCAATTCTTCTGCTATCATTCTCAAAGAAAGCCGTCGATCATCCGCAAGCATCCGTCGCACTCGTTCAATGTTGTCTGGAGTTGTGCTTGTTGGTGGTCGACCGGAACGCGGCTCATCTTTGACATCTTCCTTTCCGTCTCTAAAGCGTTTAAACTACTCAAAAACATACTTTTTACTCACTGCGTCCAAACCGCACACTTTCACTAACATTTCGTGTGTCTCCGTCGCCGTTTTGCCTAATTTGAAGCAAAACTTGATGTTCACGCGTTGCTCCATTTCGCAGTGACGGGCCTTCTCACAATCACTCTTTAAATTGGTCGTAGCGCACACTTCCGCTTAACTGTCGTGATTTGGACGCTAGGGGGCACTAGTTGCCATGTCTCTCATTGCGTCAGCGTAAGTGCAGCATCCGAATCAGAGCGGAACTATGGGACCATTCACCGAACTTTTCGAACGCACCTTGTATTTTGCTCCTTAATTATTTTATTAGATAGGTATTTTCTTTGGTCCACAAGCGCTAAAATTTCAGTTTACAGTTCCTGATGTGGCAACAAATAACTCTAGCCGAGGGTGCTCAAATTTGAGAAGATGGCTCTGGGTGTCACAGCAAAAAAAAAAAAATGCGGGAAAAATGTGGATTTTTTAAAGAAACCTTTATTATCTTTCCGAATAATTTTCTGTGTTTACTAAAATGCATGTCATCATTGCCACATCATACAAGCACAAAAGACTTGATGAATGTTGCAAACCATTGTCAGCTTTCTATGAAGCGGGGTTAGCCAAAATCTCTTTGCGACTTCATCAATTTCTGATCGGTCCCCTAAATGCCCTCGTGACCGAATCTTAAATGTAAATTGTAAGTTAAAGCTTATTCTTTATATGGTCGAATTTGGAGGACATATTCGGAAAAATGTTTCACCCATGTTTCTATGTGATTTTGGATCGTATGCCTGACCTTCCCTTAAAGTGTTGCTACATTGGGTTTTTTAAATCATCCTGTATATGAGTCGTTTAGCTGCAAAAGTGGCCATCGCCAAAACAGAAAATTCTTCAGAAAAGTGGATTTTCTGTCACATCTGGCTAAAATGAGATTCGAAGAAAGACTGCATTGCATTTGATGCTCTTGGGCATCGTGATTCAGTATGCAATTCATGGTAATGAGGCATGAAGAAGACGGGGGAGTTACTCAAGGTTTTGTTTTGGAGATATCCGGTTTTGCAGCTCGATTTAGATATGGCCAGTTTTGCAAAACTCTGAAATCTAAATAAATACGCCAAATTGCACAGAAAATTGGAGACATAATAATTTTCGAAAAATATTAGTGAAATAAGGAGGAATATATTTTTACCTTTAAAAAATTGATTCAGTCGTAAAAAAATCAGATTCTTATGGCCATATCTTCTCCAGATTTTTTTAATTAGTTACTAGTCGCCTTCGACGACCTGCTGTTTGCCCGTAATATCAATAGCCTGTGGTTATGCTTGAAACTTTACGAAATAAATTGGCTTATTGGCGGTTTTAGAAGCTAAGAGATTCTGCAAAAGTCTTATTTTTCGATTTCTCTCGAAAATGGAGGGGGGAGGGTAACCCTTGATAACATATCTAGAGGTCGTAAACTTCTATATTAAATAAAATTATCGAAATCGGTCCAGTGGTTGGCGCTAGGGCACTGTCTAATGTTTTTCCCCGTAGAGAATGCACAGAAGAGTAGTGGTTTTTCGATTTCTCTCGAAAATAGAGGATGTTGGTGAGAGGCAGGCGACCCTTGATGTCATATCTAGAGATCACAAGCTTACATATGAGATAAAAATTTATCGAAATCGGTCTAGTGGCTGGGGGACTGTGTCATGGTTGTGCCAATGGACCTTATGCATGTGACGTCACATCCTCCGACACGTGACCTGCCGGCGGCAGCCATTGGTCAGTCTTAAACAGCTGACTCAGAACTGCTTATATTTCTGAGTCACTTATAGGCCGATCGTTTTGTTTATTCCTCCACAGCTGTTTTTCTATACTCTCGAACCCAAACGGTGCATAAGGTCCATTACTTTAACCCTCCTAGCGTCAGGCCCGAGATATACGAGTGAACTTTTTTCCTCTCATAACGGCAGACCCGAGACTGTCTCGGGAAAGAAAAGTTCCATATAAGTGTCAGACCTAAGATTTTCCTTCTACAAGTTTTTCTCTTCCCCCCCCCCAAGGTGTCACTCGGCGACATAATGAGAGGGAGTGTCTGTGGTCACGGGAGGGTCAGTTTGACCAACTTTTCTGAGAATACTCAAAGAAGGGTCTTCTAACAAAGGATTCTGTCACAAAGAATCAAGGTTAGAAGTCATCTGTCACTGCTGAACGATAACAGGTCTAACAGACCCCCTACGGCGCGAAAATGACCACAAAAGGGGGTTGAAATCCTTTTATCCACAACCTCACAACTTGAAGAATAGCATTCTCTTTTAGCGTGACAATTTCGTCAAACGTAGCAATCTGAAAACCTAACGGCTGGAGGGTTAAATATATAGATTGTTTCCCAACTCTTTCAACTTCCATGCCTTTAAAATATCTAAAAGCTGTAACAAAATTATCGGGTTAAAAATGTTTATAGTTTTATGAATCGCTAGCTGTAACCGTCAGAATTCGCACAATGACGCAATCCTTTCTGCACACAGTAAACTAGTCTAGTTACTGTCCCGACTACGTCACGGCTTCGCAGCTGTGCGAACACTTCATCAGCTAGCTCGTTTTAAATCACTTTCCCAATCCTGAGTTGACGATGTTAAAAATAACCCCGTTTACTCCACTGGCACGAGGACTATCGCCACCTTTTTTCCGAACGTATAACGTTAAGTGCCGAATGGGTGTTCTTTAAAAAAAATGGGGCAGAGCTAAGCCTTTCTTCCACCCCATATTTCTTCGCTCAAAATAAAAAAACGGCGGCTGAAAATAGGAGATTCAACTTTTTTGCTATTAATGTCACACCTCGGTTCACATGCTTAATTCATTACTGAAAGTTGTTCATGAAAACATTAAATTTTGGACTTCTAGTCCTTACTTCGTCTGTCTTGTCTTCGATGTCTTGGCATATGAGGAAGCCAGCGCCAAACTTCGAACAAGAATGGCTGAAAAGGGTCGCCAATAACCTCGTCTCCAGGCATAAAATTCGTGGGATTATCAAATTCATTAGCGGAAACAGAGATCTTTTCCGGCCTCCCTAGCCTTCAACTTTCAAGCGAGCTGAACTTAGTAGCTCAATTACCGGACATTCCCCCCCTTCAAATAATAGAAAGGTATAACATCATCTAAAGAAAAGACTATTACGAACTTATAGTGTAAAAGTGAAAATGTCTGTGCTGTAAATAGTGTATATATTTCCTTCTTTTTGTTTATTTTGTTTTTCTTAAATAAAATTCCCGTGTCTCACCCATCAAACCTTTCAGTGACCTGTCTCGTCACGGGTACGGGGGTAAGAGACGGCGTTCTGTTCTGTCTTGTCTTCGACCATCCAGCCAGTTCAGGTGCCGCAATGGCATCAGGCACGGGGGGCGTTTGGGCGGCGTTCTGTCGTGTCTTCGTCTGGCTTGATTGCATCAGCCGTTACTGTCCCTACGTAACGGTTTTTACACCACGCAATTTACAGAAAAATGCCAGCTTAAAAACATTATCAGGTTAATGAAACCTGCTTTAATTCCGCTTTAAAGTTAATGTTCAAAGAAAGCAATTTTTTATCATTACGTTAATTTTGGCAGAAGAAGGTGAAAGAACCAATAAAATTTGTTTGAATTTCATCGCGCCAATAGAAAGCATTGCTTCAAATTGTGTTTAAAATTAATTTTGAAAAAAATTATGGAAATTTTAAAAACATTAAAATAAATAATAAATGGAATGAAATTGGTTGGCTAATTTATAGATATTGGTAAAGTTAACTTGTTGAATTTTAAAGTAGTATGAAAATAGTTTTTGTGCGATAATATGCTCCGAAGTTATTGAGGAAAAACTGTTACAATTTTGATAAATTTTTAATTAATTAAAAATATAATTAACAGTGATCGTCTGCTTCGCAAGAAGTAACTATCTGCCTAATTTTGTATCTCTAGGTCCAACGATTTGCCCTGTAGAGAACTGCACTCTGTCATAATGCAAAGTACAGAAAATATGCCAGTCTAGAAACATTATCATGTTAATAAAAAATATTTTCCCTACAGGATTTAATTAAAAATACATTAACTCTATCTATACGTTAAAGTCCCACACGTCCCTTCAATCAAAAGACGGTGGTCGTCTGAAACGTCGGAATATCACAGCGAAATTTCCACCCCCTTTCGTTAAGTGTGATTGATTTCACACCCGCGGCGTTCGCTTTTTTCGTTAGAGTGTCTCGCCCAGATGGGTTGGGGGAAAG